CTCCCAGAACTACATCACGGCGGCGGAGCTGCGGCGGGAGCTGCCGGCGGCGCAGGCCGAGTACTGCATCGCCCGCATGGCGCCCTACCCCGGCCCCGACGGCGGCCCCGGCGCCCTGGACTACAAATCCTTCTCCACGGCGCTCTACGGCGAGAGCGACCTCTGAGCGGGATCCCAAACGGATCCCCGAGGGTCTCCCTGGGATCCCAAACGGATCCCCGAGGGTCCTGGACTCCCCGGGATCCCCCCGGGAATCCCAAACGGATCCCCGAGGGTCTCCCTGGGGTCCCAAAGGGATCCTCAAGGGTCCTGGACTACAAATCCTTCTCCACGGCGCTCTACGGCGAGAGCGACCTCTGAGCGGGATCCCAAACGGATCCCCGAGGGTCTCCCGGGATCCCAAAGGGATCCCCGAGGGTCCTGGACTCCCCGGGATCCCAAACGGATCCCCGAGGGTCTCCCTGGGATCCCAAACGGATCCCTGAGGATCTCCCGGGATCCCAAACGGATCCCCGAGGGTCCTGGACTACAAATCCTTCTCCACGGCGCTCTACGGCGAGAGCGACCTCTGAGCGGGATCCCAAACGGATCCCCGAGGATCCCAAACAGATCCCCGAGGGTCTCCCTGGGATCCCAAACAGATCCCCGAGGTTCCTGGACTCCCCGGGATCCCCCCGGGAATCCCAAACGGATCCCCGAGGGTCTCCCCGGGATCCCAAGGGATCCCCGAGGGTCCTGGACTACAAATCCTTCTCCACGGCGCTCTACGGCGAGAGCGACCTCTGAGCGGGATCCCCAGGGATCCCCGAGGGTCTCCCTGGGATCCCAAAGGGATCCCCGAGGGTCCTGGACTCCCGGGATCCCCCCAGGCTCCCAAAGGGATTCCCAAGGGACTCCCCGGGATCCCCGAGGATTCCCCCGGGATCCCTGGCGGTCCCCAGCGGTCCTGGATCCCCGAGGGTCTCAAACAGTCCAGGGTCCTCAAGGATCCCCCAGGATCCCTGAGGATCCCAAATCCCCAATGGTCCTGGATCCCCGAAGGTCTCAAACAGTCCCGGATCCTCAAGGATCCCCCAGGGTCCCCCAGGATCCCTGAGGATCCCAAATCCCCAACGGTCCTGGATCCCCAACGATCCTCCAGGACCCTCGAGGATCCCGGATTCCAAATGCTCCCAGATCCCTGAGGATCCTCCAGGACCCTCAAGGATCCCGGATTCCAAATGGTCCCGGATCCCCAACGATCCTCCAGGACCCTCGAGGATCCCGGATTCCAAATGGTCCCAGATCCCCAGGGATCCTCCAGGACCCTCAAGGATCCCGGATTCCAAATGGTCCCGGATCCCTGAGGATCCTCCAGGACTCTCAAGGATCCCGGATTCCAAATGGTCCCAGATCCCCAGGGATCTTCCAGGACCCTCAAGGATCCCGGATTCCAAATGGTCCCGGATCCCCGAGGATCCTCCAGGACCCTCAAAATTCCCGGATTCCAAATGGTCCCGGATTCCCAGGGATCCTCCAGGACCCTCAAGGATCCTGGATTCCAAATGGTCCCGGATCCCTGAGGATCCTCCAGGATCCTCAAGGATCCCGGATTCCAAATGCTCCCAGATCCCCAGGGATCCTCCAGGACCCTGAGGGATCCCGGATTCCAAATGGTCCCGGATCCCCAAGGATCCTCCAGGATCCCCGACGGTCCCAGATCCCCAAGGATCCCCCGGGATCCCCCCCTCGCCTCCTACTATGCAACAGTTGATTGATTTTGGGATATTTCGGGACGCGATTCCCGCTTCTCCCCGGTTATTTTTTTGGCAACGGGACGCGGAGAGAGGAATTCCCAGGATTTTCCACGGGATCGGCGGCACGGCCCGAGGGTTCCCTCTCCCCTCGCCTTCCCCCTGCACCTCGCACCTAATTTATGGCTTTTCCAGAGGGAAAAAATCGGGATTTTGGGGGGTTTTTTTAGGTTTTTTTCACTCACATTCCCACCTCGGAGCAGCGTTTTGTGGACCAAAAAAAAAAAAAAAAAAAAAAAAACAAAAAAGTGGGGGAAAATAGGGGGGAATAGGGAAAAAAGGTGAGAAATACAAAGCAGGGAGAAATGAGATGAAAAATTAGGAGGGAAAATGTGGTCAGAGATGGAAAATCAAGGAAAAAATGAGGAATGAAAAAATGCGGGAAAATTGGGAGAGAAATGAGGAGAATCGTGGAGAAATCTGGAGCAATACAGAAAAATATGGGAAAATAATGATAAATAAAAAAGAATAAGGAGAAAAATAAAGAGAGACATAAGGACAACTGTAGAAAAATATTAAGAATTAAAGAAATAAGGAAGAAACGTATGAGAAATCCACCTAATAAAGCGCCTGATCCTGGAAAATTTTGACGGGAAGCAGAAAATTCCGGTTTCCTTTATAACTTTACGGATTTATTATATAAATATATATTCACGTAGCAGCTTCTTTGTCCTGTAATTAAAATATTGCTGGAAAAAAAAAAAAAAACTCTGGAATTTTGGAGTTTTTCTTCACTTTTTTTTTTTAATAGAGCCAACGAGGTAATCTTGAGGGGAGGGAACAACCATTTTGGGGTAAAATGGGACATTTTGGGGGTAAAATTGAGGTGATTTTTTTTGACATGTCAGGGCAGGTGTGGGGATAAAACCTGGGGTGATCTATAAGTGATGGCGGGAATCTTTTTGGGGTGAAATCGGAGCTAAATGTGAGTGCAGGATCCCTACGTTGTGCTGGTTTTTTTCCCCATGTTCCCCATCCTTTTTTCCCTCACTTTTAAATTTTTTTCCCCTCACTTTTTTATTTATTTTCCCCTCACTTTTTTAAAATCTTCCCCTCACATTTTCTGCATCTTTTCCCACCCTTTCCCCCTCACATTTCCCACCCATTTTCCCTTCATGTTTTCTGCCCTTATTTTTTTCTTTTCCTTTTTTTCCCCCTCACATTTCCCCCCTTTTCCCCTCACATTTTTCATCCTTTTCCCCTCGTGTTTTTCACCTTTTTCCCGTCATTCTCACCCTTTTCTCCCCTCACATTTTCCCCTCTTTTCCCCTCACATTTCTTTCCCTTCTCCCCTCACATTTCTCTTTTTCCCTCACATTTTTCTCCTTTTTCCCCTCACATTTTTCTCCTTTTTCCCCTCACATTTTTCTCCTTTTTCCCCTCACATTTTTCTCCTTTTTCCCTCACATTTTCCCCTCTTTTCCCCTCACATTTTTCTCCTTTTTCCCCTCACATTTCCCTTTTTTCCCTCACATTTTTCTCCTTTTTTCCCCTCACATTTTCCCCCTTTTTTCCCTCACATTTTTCTCTCTTTTCCCCTCACATTTTTCCCCCTTTTCCCCCTCACATTTCTTTCCCTTCTCCCCTCACATTTCTCTTTTCCCCTCACATTTTTCTCCTTTTTTCCCCTCACATTTTCCCCCTTTTCCCCCTCACATTTCTTTCCCTTCTCCCCTCACATTTCTCTTTTCCCCTCACATTTTTCTCCTTTTTCCCCTCACATTTTTCTCCTTTTTCCCTCACATTTTCCCCCTTTTTCCCCTCACATTTCCCTTTTTTTCCCCCTGAGGACGTCCCGGGGCGGGCGCTAAGCCCCAGCGCGTCCCTCGTTACCATGGCAACCCCAGCGTGGCACTGCCGCCATTTTAACTCCGGGCACGAGCTGCCCTTCCCGCCAACCAC